GTGTACGCATGCACACACACAGACATTCAAACACAAATACCCCAAACCAGCCTACACTGAAAGCTTACTAGGCAAGCAAGTGAACTCATGTAATATAGAAGGAGATGGCTAACTACAGAAGAGGAAAGGATCTGAGAGGACATCGTGAAAGAAAAGAGGACATAAGAAGGTAGGATACGGGATGAATTGGGATGGGTAGAAACAGGAAGGGGTAAAGAAAACAGGAAGAAATGGGTGGACATAAAGAATTCATGGGGCAGTTGGGCACGCATGGTGGCACACACATGCAATCCCAGTACTTGGGAGGTGAAGGCAGACAGAAGGGTTAGCAGTTCAAGGTCTAGCTTGGGCTAAAGGAGACCTTGTAGGAAAACAAGAACAAAACACCACCACCACCATTGATAACAATGAATGAAAACAAGGCAGGAGGTCAATGTAATTTTGGGAAGGGTGGGCCCAGTTGACACATGCTGTGTTCGAAGCTGTGAGTAGGATTCAGATGGGAGTTCCAGGGAGCATATACCTGCAGTCATCTGAAGCCTGTGGTGTGAAAGAAGCTGTAGAAATACACTCAGAAGAGGCCTTGCCAATATACCAGGAAGAAAGCCTAGAAACGTGGGAGAGTGGCAATTCTGCTGCTTAGTATGTATCTAGGAGGCATAAAAACATGTCCACACAGGACATCCAAGGCAGCAGAATTTTTAATAACTAAAAGGTGGAAATGGCCTACATGTATATCTACTAAAGAATGAATTAATTCAAGATGGTAAATCCACATAATGTTTTATCAGTCAGCAGGAAGGAAAGAACACAGTGCTACAACCTGAATGAGCTTTGAGCATATTTTCCTACATGAGAGGCATTAGTTAGAAATAATTCTGCTTGAGGAGATGCTGAGAATAAGGAATCCTTAGAGATGGAACCTCCTTTAGGGGATGGTCAGGCCTGGGAAGGACAGGAGCATACACAGGAAGTGGTAGCTAATGGATATGAAAGTTTCTTTATTGAGGTGGTGAAATGATCTAAAGTTGACTCTGATGTTACTTGAATATATCTATGAAAATACTAAAAAAGTTTTTAAATTGAACTTTTGTACATTTCATACAAGAGTTCTTAATCAAATTAAATTCCCCTCAGAACCCCATCCCTGATTAGACACAGAGTACATGCGTCTGAGAGCTGCTCAGTCCTAGGTGCCATATCTACAGTGGAACCTCTATACCTAAGACTCATTGAACACAGCAGAACTGGGATAGAGAGAAAACTAGTACACCCTCAACTCTCACCAGTGAAGCTTCCTTATACAACAGAGTGTAATGCACACTAAAAACTTTTGAATGAATATTTGAACAGGAGAATTGCATGATGTATGAAATATCACAATATGCCTTTTAAGTATGCACAAGTGTGGGTCAAGGACAAGTTTTAAGAAAGTAGTTTAAGATGATGCACATGAAATGATCACCATCCTCATCAGTACACATTATGTTGATGTACTTAGTTACCTACCACACAGCATCACAACTGAATCATAATTACTAAATAGTTAAAAATAAAAAAAAGTGGCTTATATCTCAATGAGGCTGTTTTAGAGTAGCAAGGGGCAACAGACTGAGTCCCGGAGAACTATCCCCACTGTGGGCATCAGAAGGAGCCTTGGGTACAGATACAGAAAAATGTGCGAGGAGAAACAGCGGACAGGAACCAAACGGGTGGAGGGGGATCTTGTTCAGCTACAGAGAGGAGAGAATGGGAAGTCAGAGACAGCAGATAGGACCAGGACTCAATACCACCTCCGGACTTGCACCTAGGATTGACAGGCCATCTGACCAAATCAAGTACAGTGAAATCAAGAAAGAATATAGTGAATGCCTGTATTGATGGCGGCAGGGGTGAGGATGCTGTTGCAGAATAGAACCAGAACAGTGCCACCGCACAGGAAATGAGTCTGCTCTTAGCTCTTAAAAATATAGGCTGAGAGACAGCTGTTTGTGACATGCTTGCCTTGCATGTTTGAAGACCTGAGTTCAATTCCCTGAACCTATTTAAAAAATGCAATGTGTTGGTTTGTGCCTGTGATTCCAGTACTGGGAACATGGAGACAGGCAGATCCCTGGGCTCACCAGTCAGTCTAGTCTAATTGGCCAGCTCAGGATGACGAGAGACAGTGTCTCCATGAACAAGGTGTGTGGGTCCTGAAGAGTGACACCAGGCCAGGCATGCTGGCATACACCTTTAATCCCAGCACATGGGAGGCACAGGCAGGAAGAACTCTGTGAGATCGAGGCTAGCCTGATCTACATAGAGAGCTCCAGGGCAGCTGAAGCTAAGAATGCTACTCAGGACTCAGCCCTCCACACAACTGTGCACATATGCACATCTCCCCCCGCCCCCTGCCCCCACATACACACAACACACAGCCTAAAAGGTCTTCTACTGGATCACATTAGGGCAGAAACTTGCTGAACTTGCTTCCCTTCCTTTGTCCACTGCTTTTGGTCAGGTCATCAATCTTAGTACCTGACAACAGTTATTTACTGACGAACCATTTTCTGTGACTTATCACATCTCTGTCATACTGGGATTGCTATGCTGTGGCAACTACTCATATGGTGACAAAACTTATAATACTATCCTTTTAATGCTCAGCAGTGAGAAAGGAATGCTGGGGCACCTTGTTCAAGGTCATGAGGATTTCCATTCGAGCTAAGGCTGTCGTATGGAGTCCTCTACTCTCAGTCCGACATCTTTCTCTGATAGTCATCCTTTTTCCCTAAAACCCTAAACCAGGCTCTGGTTCCAGAACTTGTTTTCAATTTCCTTACTGCTTCCTAATTACACACACACACACACACACACACACACACACACACGTGTGTGTGTGTATGTGTGTGTGTGTGTGTGTGAAGGTGTGCATGTGTTTGGAGGTCAGAGGACTCCTTCAGATGTCATTCCTCAGGCATTACTTTGTTTTGAGGCAGGGTCTCTCACTGACTTGGAATTTGCTGACTCAAATGGCCACTCAGGATAGCCAGTGAGTCTCAGGCAGCTGTTCCCCTCCAAGTACTGAGAATATGAGCTTGTGCCATTATGTCAGGTTGTTTTTTTATATATGGGTTCAAGGGATGCACTTTACCAACAGAGCCAGTCCTCAGAAATCAATAGTTGGGGCTGGAGAGATGGCTAGGAGGTTAACAGCACTGGCTGTTCTTGCAGAACTGAGTTCAGTTCCCAGCATCCACATGACAGCTAACAACCACCCAGAACTCCAGTTCCAGGGGAGCTGATGCCCTCTTCTGGCCTCTGTGGGCATTGTTCACACGTGATGAACTTAAGTACATGCAGGGAAAAGTGTCACATACATAAACTAAAACTTTTTAAAGATGTAATATAATAGAAAATTTCTTGCCTGTGTATATAGTAGAAAAGTCTAAACGGTCATTTGGATTCTTAGAATCATTAAAGATATCAATATTGATTCATTCAGTAACAAGCTACTTTTCACTATAACACAATGGCAAGCATGCAAGAAATTTGCCACTTTAAATCTAAAATTTGGTAATTTCTGCCTCCTAAGCATGGAGAATATTGATCAAATTTATGGTGGATTTCCTTTTTTGAATATAAATATTTATTTGTGCCTTGTTACATCTTGGCATCTGTCAATCAGTCATCAGATAGCAAGTGTCTGTAACGTACCAAGATCTAAACAGAATTGCCTCTCTTGTCATTATGATGATGATGATGCAAAGTGGTGCTTTAGCTGCCTTCTTGAAGCGCTTTTCTCTGTCCTCTTGGGAAGCTGCATTTTTATAGGACTTAATGTCTTTTCCAGTTTCAACATCTTTCTGGGCACATTTCCAAACTTTCTCCCTTGTGTTCCTCATGCCACATCTGAGGATTTGAGTTCCTTGAGCTCAGTGAGCTTCCTTGTTCCCTGAGAACATTGGACCACATGTGGAGACGTTTCACTGATAGAACAGGGGAGGTGCCACTGGTACTAAGTGATTAGGGGTCAGGTATGCTGCTGAGCATCTTAGAGTGCACAGTCATGGGACCACAAAGAATAATCGAGTCCAAATTTGCCAGTGTGGACAAACTGTATTCCCAAGGGTGCTATTCTTGTAGAAATGGAAAGTCTACAGTCTCTGCATATCTAGATGGCAGCATGTCCATGTTAGAAGTCTCTAAGTAATGTGATAGATGACAACCATGAGGTCTGTCAGGAAAAAGAACCAAAGCCTAGAGTCACTGGACACTCTTCCTTCATGATCACAAATCAGAGAGTAGATAGCCTCTAGGGCAAAAAAGAATGAAAATTGGTTTTTGCTCTCAATTTCTATCACACTACTCAGCTAGTCAGTTAATAAAGGGGTGATAGACTGTAAGGAAAAATGACAGTGTGAAGGTAGGTGTAAGGTGCTGCGGTATTAACATCCACCAGTGATTGTCTTTAGACAGTAGAAAGAAAAAGGAATAAAAATATTTTATTTGTTGTTTTTATTTTATGTGTATGAGTCCATTGCCTGCATGTGTATAAGTGCACCTGTGTCATGCAAGGCCCGCGGAGATCAGAAGAAGGCATTGGAACCCCTGGAACTGGAGTTATGGATGGTTAGCAGCCATGTGGGTGCTGGGAATCGAACCCAGGTCCTTTGCAAGAGCAGTCAGTACTCTTAACTGCTGAGCCATCTCCAGCCCCAAGAACATTGAATATACATAAAGAGAACATTAGTGGCAATACTCCATTGCTGTCTCCTTCATCATCCTTGTTTGATGGAGAAATGGCTCAAAATTGCTGTTTTACAATCTGAGAGAAATGTGCTTTGAAAGTACTGAGTACACAACGAAGAATGCAGGGGTGATACCAGTCCTAGCTGCGGGAAGACAAGTCATTAAAATGTGTGGTCCGGGAAGAAATTGTCTCTGTAATTGGCTACCAAGCTACTTATCAACCAACATTTGCTGCACACACTTTAATTTCATGTCTTGGCACTTACCTGCAGGGTCAGCTGTGTTGGCTGACTTCCATCCCACACTCCTGGAGCTATCATTTCTATGGGAGGCTCACTCTGCAATGTCATGCTAAATAGCATAGACCCAAGAATGGGTTTTCTGTAAAAGAAAGTACATGCAGACAGACAAGAGTCACTTGAAGAGGAACGCTATCTGTGTCTGTACAAGTTTTCTTTTGGAATGTAAACCATCAGCTACTTGGGGTTTCATTCAGTAGCAAAGAAAGAAATAGACTATTCCACAAGCCCAGACACTGGGATTGACAGCTCATTACTAATATAACTCATGGATAGCTATTTTCATAAATATCTGCATTTATTTTTCACATGTGAATATTATTCCTATAACAATTTCTAACAGGTAGCATTTATTAGTAATGGTTGTCTATAGTGATGGCTAAGTGGAACTAAAAATCTCAGGTTTGTTCTCTTGGATTTATGGCTGCCTTAACTCAGTAAAGATAGTATAATCTGCAGAACATGGTTTGGCTCCATGAAGAGTCTGAATTCCTTGGGTATTCAAACATTCTAAATTTATAGGAAATCAAGATTTAAGTCAGTACAGCATATGAGCTGCAGAATTAAAATAGTTGTGGGACTTCACAGGGGAAATGTTCCTTCACATATAAATAGAAAGATTATTCATATTCAGAATATTTAAAATCGGTTGTAAATTACCATAGTAAATGGGAGTCCTACAAGAAACACTTAACTAGGGAAGAATTCATCAACGGTTTTAATGGTGGCAATATTACCCAAATTCACAGATCTTTATGCAACTTTACCAAAAAATCATGTTTGTCCATGTATACAAATCTGATTATTGTTAACACATTGCAGTGGTAACTAAGAACGGTATTTGGTTTTAATATACTGAATTGAAAATGTAGAACTGAAAGTTAACAAAATTAAATTTATACTTAAAAATCTTTAAATCATCTTTTCAATAACAATATCTAATTTCGTCTTGTCATTTAACAGATTCAATATATAAGGAAAACAAATTTATCAAATCAATCTTTACAGGCTTAGTATTTTTTTCTTTTGCAGTGATGACCCCCAGGGCCTTGTACATGTCATTCAAACCCTGTACTACTGAACTACTCTTGGAGACAGGGTGTTGCTATGTAGCCCAGTTGTGCCTTGAATTCACAATCCTCCTGTCTCTACTTACTAATTACTGGGATTAGAAGTGTATGTCTACCATATCCATCAGATCTTAATCTTTCTAAGTCCTTCCTTCTTTGTTAGTTCCTATTCCGAAATTACTGCTGGAAAGTACCTGTCCAAAAAAACCCCATAATCTGCCATCATTATTGGGTAGATTTTTTATTTTATAAAAAACCCCATAATCTGCCATCATTATTGGGGAGATTTTTTATTTTATTTTATTATGTTTATTAGAAGAAGCATTTCATTACAACAGCATTAACCTATTCTATAACATTTTTCTGAGCTAGGGTACATCTCTTTCAAAATTGGCTGTACATTTCTAGGTTTACAGATGAATTATTACGCTTATATAATCTTTTACTCATTATAAACTCTATAAGACATAAAATTAAATAAGGTTTTAACCTTTAAAAAAGATCTC